ACGACGAGAGTGGGTGATGCGCCGCCGACGAAAGCGCGTGCAGGTGGAAGGCACAACGAATCGCCACATGCTGGCATTATATACTCCATACATAGCGTGTGTTAAATCTCATTGCAAAACTTCGTAATTGCTTCTCTCATTCAGGTGGTCCTCGAATAAATGTTAGCAAAAACAATCCACAGCATTACAGAGGGTTGATGATCACTTTTTGCCAATGAATATATGATGGGAATCCTCATGAAGTTAACAAATACATAATTTTGAACACTTCCTAGATTGGGAAGGCGTTACCAAAATCGTGGCCACTGTACTCATCGTGCTCTGTATGTGGGAACATGTTCTGACACACAAAAAACCGTAACTTGCCAAAACATAATTAGAACATGAGTTGCCTACCAATCAGGGATGCACGTTTCTTAATGTAACTTCGCAATAGACATTTCCCCCACTAACGCTTATGCCAGTAAGTGACCATTATTAACCCCCTCAAGTCCTTGCAATTTGTCATTTTAATTAAGAGACATCTGGTATGAAAAAAGTTAAAACAGTATTGGTAGAGAAATGATTAGTTGTGTAAACTCCGATTTTAACGCGGAGGGGAAGAAAATGCCAAATAATTCCTGCGGAACCACTACAATTATTCACGATTGAATAAGGTGTACGGAATTGATTTAATAAAAATCAGACGTACTGGAGTTGGCAGAGTAATAGTTTAGAAGCAAAAACTAATTTAAAATGTTAAGAGTATAAAAGCTACTGCCCAAGCACTGTTTAAAGATCGGTAGATTTAACTCGTAATCCACAGTAGTGTGCGACAAGAGCCTAGTGTGGCCTGAAACAAAAGACATCAATCATAAACATTTACTTATCTTGTTATAACTTGTTTCTTCTCTCACAATGATGACATTCATTATAAGGTTTTGGCCATTTGAGTTTTACAGAATGTTTTTCGTAATTTCTGGGCAATGTCAGTGTCGAAGATTGACGCTTATTGCGAATGAAGATGACGAAAGTACACAAGTGCATTCGCCACTTGATTTGTGGGTAAGGCAAATACGTAATTGATGTATTTTTGTGGGTCAGAAGTGGCCTGCCAATCCACCAGTACGTGAATACGCAGCCCAAAATATGGGGCAATGTCACAGGTGTTACTTCGTTGAAAGACATTTCCCGGCATAATTGGCAAACGGTGATAATCTTGCGACGCCGTAGAAGTTTTGTAAAACATTCCGTGGCCTGCGTAGGGAGGATTGCATTGCCCGCTACGCACGCGGCGGCGCGCGTCGACCGAGCAGGTGGGGCGAGCAGCGTTCGGGCTGCGGCTGCGCGTGGGGAGGCGCGTCGTTGGGCGAGGGCTCGGGCGGCGAGTCGGGCGGCGGCGGCGGGGCGGCGCGCTGCGGCCGTTGCGGGCGCCGGCGCCATGCGGAGAGCCCAGGCCGCAGGCCCAAGCCCGCGGCGGGTGCGTGGGCGGGGCCGGCGCCGGGCGACGCGCCGGGCCCCGCGGGGGAGGCGTGGCGCCGCGGCCGGCCGCGCGTCGACGACCCGCTCGAGTCCCCGGGTGACAGCCGCCGCCCAGCCAGCTCCGACAGCATGTCCATCGCCTCGCGCCTGCGCAGCCACAACACAACACGTCTTTTACCCTCAATACATAAGCCTCTGAGTCAATTTCTGCACATTGGGGTACAATCACACGACTTTAAATCTTTATGATTGCTGAGGAATGAGTGCATGTGTATTATCAAACGCAAATCAAATTTTACAAAATGGGGGAAAAAAACGCAACAAAAGTCAAGTTACCAGGTTATTCATGCTACAACAATGATTCGATAACATTGATTAATATTAAATAATCTGACACGTTTTTTCACACGTTCATTTTTTTGCAGTAAGTCAGCGCCCAAGTCTTATGTTCATAACAGGTATGGATGAATGAGTTAGGGATAGGAGACTATGTAGATATGAAATCATGGTGAAGCAACGGTGGAATGAATCGTAATCGCAAGAATAAATGCACCCGCGAGCCCTTTATTCACAAACACCACTTGGGACGACCGGGATTTCATCGCCTGCCCAGGCGGTGGTAGGCGAGCGGACTGACCGATTCACCCACAGTAAAGAGAAGCCTCTACTGAAGTTCTATGGGAAAAAACCAGACGCACCATCGCGACATTACATCGCCAGCCTCCAAAGTGGAAGAAACATTTACGGTGCGTGAAAATCACAGATTAAGAGGAATGTGTTCGAAACACATTCCTCTTAGCATCTACAGTGGCATCACTTTATTGTATTTAATTGGCTGTCACGGTGACGTCGCGTCCATGGCAAAGGTGTCGACGTTTTGGTCGCCATTCTGCGACCTTCCTCAGGGCGTAATGCAGGGAAGGTCGCAGAATAGCGACCGCAACATCGGCACCTTTGCCATGGACGCGGCGTCACCGGACAGCCAATTCAATACTGTCTCCGGCCGCAGATGCCTACGCTCCCCCTATCAGTTTATTGGTTGCAACGACCTAAATGTTGGTATTCGTCGGTAGTGGTAACGACGCAAATGAGCAATGCTTTCTCTCTGCTTTTTACTTTCTCCACAGGTAGGGGTGGCCCCCAGTTTGACTATTGATTTTACCCTGGCAGACCTCGATGCTCTCGAGTTATTGAGGAGGGATTGGTCCCGGCACAATAGAGTGGTGATTAATTGAAATGAAAGTTGGAAGCTCTGATTTGGGGAGGCTGCCCTAACCAGACTGAAGTGGAGGTAGGTTCCATGAAGAGAGTTGCGTTCCGGCGAATCCTAATGCTCCTGGCGAATCCTAATTCAGCCTGGAGGCGAATTAGAGCACCCTGAATGAGGTGGGGTAGGACTCAACTAGCCTCGAGACGAAAAAAAAATCCCCCTAGTATTAAAGTGTGATTAGCGCACCTTGCCTCCCGTTGAACACGTATCACAATTCAGCTGAGACAAGTTTGAAACAGCTGTGCCGCGACACGCATGCACTTCTGGCACCTCCGAAACATTCATCTTGGCCTTGCAGATACCAGAGACGTAACTGGGGCCGGTGCAATTGGGTGGCGTTTCCATGCGCAAACATCTCCCCATCCCATTTCTATTCCATGTCTCCCCATGCCCATTTTTTAGAAGGACTAAAAGCCTTCTCCCCCCCCCCTCAACGTTTTTTTGGGGGGGTGATATTGAAGTACCATCTCCGTTTTTTAAGGAGTTTTAAGTCGTTTTCAGTCTTGCCCTCTCCCTTTTTAAGCGTGCCCTTTCATGCCATTGCCAAATTTAGGATAACTGATGTTACAACAAAAATATTTTTAACTGGCATCTGATAGGACCTCATTTGTGTATTCACGGTAAGTTTACGGTACTTTTATTTGTCCGTCAAAAAATTGGAGCGGTGGCCCTCTTAAGATACAACGCGGGTCTCGGAGTGGATGATTTCGCCATTACTAGATATATTGATACTACCTTCGACTAGAGTATATTAAAAAAGTATGCAAGGTACCCACACACAGAAAAGGTAGCCGTTTCAAATCGTTGTGCTGCTACGCCTTGTCTTGCTAAAGTGTGGGCTTCAATGTGATTTCGGGTAGCCTGGAGTGCATTTGGGTCACGGAGTCGGAGATTCAGCACCTGCGTAAGCAAATTAAAAAGGGACGGCGAAATATTTTACGTTTGTGCCAGATCTGCAGGGGCACTGCTCACGGACAGCAAGAGCGGAGATGGTCGAAAGATACGTGTATTGATAAACATTATTGTACTCTTTGACTGGATCAATTGATTGATGTTTGCACTGGAGTACTTCCACGGCTATGGTCATTAGCCCTGTTTTAGTGTATACTGGGAAGGTTTTCCACTGGATAGTGAGCTCCGACCTACACGCCTTTCGGGAGATTTCTCTCCTTCAGGGATCTCCCCCATCGAGGCACAGTCCCACCCGCGACAAGCTCGAAGGCCCCCGTGTGGTCTCCTGACATGCATGATAGAGTAGTGCATACAAGAGCAAGTGTGTGTGTGAGGAGAGGATAAGTAAGAAATGATCGCGCGCGGATCGTGGACTGCTTGTTAAATTACTGCTCCGGCTTTCGCCTGCTGTGGAGAGGAGAAATTACGGAAAACTATAGAGCAGTCGGCCGCTCGAATTCTCCTCCGCACACCGACTGAATCCAATCTAGGTATACTAGAGCCAGTTTCGAAATTTCGCCATATACGCGACTCGAACCCTAGAACCTCACAGTTCAGAGTCAACCTTAACCGGAAATTAATTTCCTCGTGGCAAATAAGGATGTTATGGTAAATGGTGGTGAGATGGTCAGGCCGCGAATCTGCCACCTCTGAAAACGGTGCTTCAAATCACGATGAAACCTTGGGGAATTTGTAATGGATAGGTTTTTCTGGTTCTCCCGCCTCCAATTCGAACTTGACTCCATTACCATTCACATAATATCTTTACCGACATACACACATTACACATCTCAGTCCAAAAACGACTTGGTTACTAAATGTCATAATATATATTGTATTGTTAGTGTGAGATAGGGTAAAGGATGTCTCAGGATAAGTGTTACAAATTTGTAGGTCATGTAGGGAAGTCGAAGGCCAATTTTTGACAATCTGATGAGAAATCTCATGAGGCGAAATCTCGTGCAATATTGAACATCGAGCTCCTGTATGATAGGCAACTCATCATGCACAGGCGTTTTGCAGGTACTCGTTCTGACGTAGTAAATACACGGCGTACCTTCGAACACGGGTGCATAACTTCGGTTACTAGTCTGGGTCAAATGAGTAAATTCGTTTTATGAGATTTCTCACCGCACATTTATTGGCAAAAGG